GGAGAAGCAGATCCACAGGCTCGACGATCTCTGTTGCATGCGTGGCGATCACAGTGAAGAACAATGCATTGTATACCTAAAACCGCTTTTAGTGATCCTAGCATTAAAAATGTAAAGCTTGGGGCCAGCCCGTGGTGTGGTCGTTAGGGCGGCTGGATCCTACATGGTTCGAATCCCAAACCCGGCAACTTCAGAAACACACGGGTGCGCGCGTGTGCGCGTGCCCAAAATCCTGAGCAGAGTGGAGAAGGACGGACTGTGGCAGGACCGCCCCCCTGGGGGTCATTTCTCACCTCCTCGCCCTCGCTGGCAAATGTACATGCCTGACAAAACTTCTTTACGAGAGTTTGTTTCTGATTTTTGGATACAGAGTGTGTGCGCTCACTGGAGAGAAAGAAACAGAGAGGTAGAAAGGGAGAAATCACCCCCCCAGGGGGATGGCCACGCCGCAATCCCTTCTCCTCCATTCTCCTCTTGGGATTTTGGGTACGCACGCAGACTGGTGAGTTTTAAGCCGCTGGGTCTGGGACACGAACCACAGCTGACTACGTGGAAGTCCAGCAACGTAAGCATTAGGCCACTTGCTGGTCCTCCGACAGCAATTAAACATTTTTTGTTCTGTAAGGTAACATGTTATTTTAAAATGTGGGGGAGAGGCAGCTGGTCCCACATGGCCTGCCGTGCAGAGTCTGAACTTGGCAGGCTGAAAATCATGGTGGGCACCCTTGCGAGCATGCCCAAAATTCCGAAAGGAGGGAGAAACAGAAGGGACTGTGGCGTGACCATGCCCCACTAGGGGGTGCTTCTCTCCCCGACCCCTCTCCAAGTGCATGTGCCCTTTGGCAACATAAATAAATCTTTGAAATTTTAGAGGTTAGGGGACCTGCAGTTGGCATAATGCCTATGTCACTGGACTCCCATGTAGCTGAGCATGCTTCGAATCCTGGACCAGTGACTTAAACTCATGCCGGACGCATGTGCGTGCGTGCCCAAGATCCCGAGAGGAGAATAGAGGAGAAGGGATTGTGGCGTGGCCATCCCCCCGGGGGGTGATTTCTCACTTTCTGTCTCTCTGGCAAGTGCATGCACCCTATAGCAAAGTCCTCTCCCAAAAAAATTTTTTTAGAGTTTAAAATGAAAGATAAAAACAGACCAGCAGGTGGCATAGTGGTCACATCACTGGACTCTCACATAGTCGACTGCAGTTTGAGTCTCGAACCCAGTGGCTTAAAACGCACGCTGGGCACGTGTGTGAGCGTGTGAGCCTAAAATCCCGAGAGGAGAAGGGAGAAGGGATTGTGGTACGGCCGGCTTCCTGGGGGAGGGGGAATTTCTCTCTCTCTCTCGTGAGCACATGTGCCTGGCCCATAGCAAAAAACTCACTTAAAAAAAAGATAAAAGCAAAGCTCTCTCCTTTCAGTTCACAGCCTGATGCCAGAGTGTGGGTGGGAATAATAACGCACACGAGTTTTTAGCAAGTATTCACAGGCACATGTGAGGGGCCGGAGACAGACCCGCGGCTCTCAGTAGGCGCTCTGCTCTGGGGTGCCCGGCATGACGGCTGTCTCACGCCGGTCTGAGAGCAGGGGAGACCGTCCGCACATCTCACGAGGCGCGTCCACGCCGGCCTGGCCCAGAGAGGCGTGAACATCTGCAAGCAGGGTGACAGGTCACAGGTCGTAGGTGGGTTTCCAAAGTTTTAAGTTCACAGTCGGTTCAGGTGTGCAAGTCTGGGTGCAGAATTTAAGGGTCAGCAGAAAATGTCAGAGCTAGACCTAAACCTGGCTGGGCCTGCCTGACCCTTCAGATAACAGCTTCGTTGTCTGCAGCCTTTGGAGGCGCCCTCCCCCCAAGCATGGGGCGGACTGGAGGGAGGGGGTGGCGATGGTCCAGGCCCTGCGGAGGGCCGGCCAGTCTGACTCTCCCCCCAACGCCGCACGCACACGCCTCCGTCTCCGTAAGGGGGCCGCGGCGCCCCCTGGTGGCCCAGCGAGGGATCGCGGCGGCTGCAGGGCCACCGCCGCCTGGAGAACATTTCCAAGCAACCTGCGAGGTGGAAGCGGGGGTGCAGATTTCGTTTGGGTTTTCGAGATACCCAGTTGGGGCGAAATGCTCCTCTTAGGTTAGAGGGAGCACTTGGGCACCAGAGACACAGACAGGGAGAAAGGCCCCCAATCGGGCGTGGCTGCCCCCCCGCTTCTCTCGATTTCTCTGTGCTTTTGGGATTTGGGGCACACACGTACACGCACCTGATGTTTCTCAAGCCGTGTGTCCAGGACTGAAACTGGAGGGCCGGCCGGAAGGATCCAGCTGCCGTAACCACCAGACCACACAGCCAGCCCAGGCTGAAATCCCTTATTTACTTTTCATTTGTATGTGCGTGTGTGCTCATGACGAGGGAGCACCCCACAGGGTCTGGGCATACCATGTGTGTCTGGCGTGTTCCAGGCTGACCAGGAAGGGGTTCAAACCGTGCTCACCAAGGGTAGCCCGGCTCCTCCCAGTAGCAGTCACCGCGGCACCCGGCCCCGTTTGGGGTGAAACCTTTCCCTGCAGAGTGTGGACAAAGGGTCTGTCTCGGCAGCACGTGGGGAGACACCCACTTCCGGTGCACGTGCTGAGCGCCTGGGGAGCTGGGGAAACTACGGGGCAGGGCCCTCCAGGGCCCTCGCCCTCCCTCTGCCCGGGCGTGTGCCCTCTGGCTCAGCCTGCTCCGGGAACCCCACACGCGACTTCTAAATCCACACTACTCACCGCTCCCCCGCTCAGAGCTCCAGCCGTGGAATACTCAGCAGCTGTCTGCCCCAAGCGTGGGACACGCCGTCAGCCCCAGAACCGCCTGCTCTGAGGTGGGATGACCCGCCTCCTCCCACTCCTCTGCTCCCCACCCGGGGGAGCTCCCCTAAAGACGTGGGCCCGTTTGGGGTGCCCCCGGGAGAGGCTGTGCAGCCGCCCGCGTGGGCAGAGGCGAGATACGACCACGTGGATGGAGCCCATCTGGGGAGACCGGGAGCTTGACAGGGGCTGGGCTTCGGACCACGGTCGGGCTCAGCTCCCTACGCCAGGTCACGGGGCCAGTCCCACTCACCTCCTCAGTTAGCGCCGAGAGATACTCGGGAGGGAGGCGGCCGCTCAGGAGGGGCTATCCCTGCCTTCTTCTTGCCTTTTTTTTATTTTTTAAATATTTCATTGTATTTATTCATTCCTTTATTTTTTTAATATTCATTTACTTACTTTAATTTGACCAGAGAGACACACAGAGATGGAGACACAGATACACACACACAGAGGGGAAAGTGAGAAAGCAAGCTGCCAGGTCTGGGACTCGAACCAGTTGGCCATGCAGGAGTCCGGTGCCTCAACCATCGTGCCAGCTGCCAGCCCCTCATTCCCTTATTTTAATTTGGCCAGACACACACACACACACACACACACACACACACACACACACACGGGGGGCGGGGGAGTGATAAGGCCAGCCACCAGGCCCAGGACTTGAACCGTGGGTGGCCATATGGGCGTGTCCAGCGCCTTAACCACCACGCCACCTGCTGGTCTCTGCATTTCTTTGTTTTTTAGCATTTGCTACAAGGGCACATGCACTCGCTGGAGAGACAGAGAGAGACAGAGACAAAGTGAGAAAGCAGCGAGGGTGGGCGTGCTGCAGCCCCTCCCCCTCCACTCTCCTGGGATTTTGGACGCGCGGGCACGTCTGGCGTGGTTTTCACGCCACCAGGTCTGGGACTCGAACTGCCTGGCGGCTACGTGCGATCCAGGTGCCCTAACCTCCGCGTAACCTGCGGCCTCCTCCTCCATTTGGAACTCCTCTCTGGAAACCATGGCCGCTGACCTCACGCCAACGTGGCTAGGCCAGGGCCCAGACGTGTGGGCATGCCCATGCGGTATCCGGCCCGGCAGGCTGAGCAAAGTGGGGGCCCTCCCAGCCTGGTGGGCCTGGTCTGACCTGGGAAGGGCCAGGGAGAAAGGAACGTGAGGGGATGAGCAGTCGGCGTACCCGTTATGTCGCCGGACCTCCACAGAGTCCGCTGTGGTTCGAGTCCCAGACTCGGTGGCTTAAAACATGCCAGGCACGTGTGGGTGCCCAAGATCCCAAGAGGAAAGAGAAGGGCCCAGAAGCAAGGGGCCCAGCCCACCCGCGGCCTGGCCACCCTCCGGTGTGCTTCCTGTCTCCAGAGTGCACACGCCCTGCAGCAAATCTTACAAACACACGTGGGCCCTCCCGGAGTAAGTGCTGCCCTGCGGCTGGAACCCCGGAGGCCGGCTCTTCCTGCTCTCACAGTTTCCTGGACACCCACGCCCCCGTAAGGGCGTACAGTGGCTCTCCACACACCTGCTGGCCGTCTCTCGGGGGACCTGACTCCATTCCTTGCTTTCCTGCACCCGTGAGAGCATGGGCTGGACATGCAGGGTGAGAGAAAGCCCAGCCCTCTGGCCGCCGGACCCTGGGTGCCTGCACACATGCCTGGCATAGTCCAGGCTGACCGGTCCAGGGACTTGAACTGCGGCTGCGGCACGTGGGGCCAGCTTCTCCTGAGTGTCACGTCACCGCGTCCCTGGTACTGGCCCCTTCTTGGAGGTGGTGTTTCCTGCCCGCACCTGGGCGGCCGGTTTCCAGGTTTCGGGCCTCTCACAGCACCCCAGGGGGAGCAAGCCCACGCGCTCGCTTGGCCACAGCAGCGTGCTGGGCTGTGCGCCCCCACCCTGAAGTGGGACACTGCGGCACGGGCCACCCAGCACCTCCAGAGCCGGGCCTGACCCCAGCAGCAGTTTCCAAACCTCCTGCCGGGGTGCCCTCAGACCAGCGCCCCTGCCCAGCCCTGCGGGCACCCTGCTGTCCCTCGCCGTCCCAGCCGCCTCTGCTGTCCCCGCTCGGTACGCCCTGGGTGTTGCGACTCGGGGAGGCTGTGAGAGCACACGGCACTGGCTGACCCCGAGCCCCACCCTGCTCCATCTGAGGACGTGCAGGGGAGGGCTCCCCGATGCAGGCTCTGCGGCTGCTTGCCCTCGCTGCGGGACCTCGGGCAGCGAAGCCCTGGCCCGTCTGCCCTGTGAAATAGGCGTAATAACCCGGGTCCTTCACCCGGTGACGTCTGGGAGCCGCTTCCAGGACACTGCCTTTGCTACAGCGGGGGCACTGGCCCGAGTGAGAGACCAGCCCTGGGGATGGCCACACGCAGCCTTCCCACCTCCTCTGCGCATCTGGGCACACACGCACAGGACCTGCTTCTCAAATGGCCAGGCCCAGACTCGAACTGCACGATCAGCCACGTGGGAGCCGGCGCCCGAACCTCTGCGCCACCACGGGCCGTAAGGGACAAGACTGCGACCTGAGTGCCCTAGACAGCTCTGGAAGGTTTCCGGGCTCCATCCCCGGGGCAGCCAGGGTGGCCTGGAGCTGCCATGGAGGTGCGTCTGGTTCTGGGGACAGTGGGGCGACGCGCATGGGTGTTGCACGCGTGCCTGATGCTCCGACCACCCACCCGTGCCGAGCATCCCTGACACACCCCCTGCAGGGAAGGGAGATGCCTCGGCATCAGAAGCTGCCGCCCTGCAGCTGCAGGAGGCCTGTGCCAGTGAGGCTCCCACAGCCTGTCCCGACAGGGCGCCGCTCTGCTGCCCACCGCGGGGTCTGCGCCTGCCACGGAGGCTGTGGGGGCAGCACGGTGCTGGAGCCCAGGGGCCTGCCTCCCGGAACCTCCGGGCTTCGGGGCCCCACACCAGGGCACGTCTGGGTGTGCTCCCACGCTGGATGACCTGCGCCCTAAGCCACGCGGTTTCCGGCAGGCCCAGCAGTGCCCAAGGTGAGACGGAGGCAGAGGTCACGGCGTCCATTTATTCCCCACACGACACGCCGTTAGCACGGGCTCAGACGCGGCGCGCTCGCGGGGTGCAGGCGGCCACGCGGCCCTCTGCCTACTGGCTCCCTCCGACGCCTCCCGGTGGGCCGAGGCCACCCTGAAGCCCGCGGGCCCTCCGCCTACTGGTTTCCTATAGGACACATGGGCTGTGGCCACCTCCCGGGCGGGGAGCCCAGGGCTCCCACTGATAGGCTGCGGACGGGGCAGGGGACCAGGGGCCCAGCCCAGCCGCGAGCCGAGCTGCGGGGACAGTGGCCGCGCCTCGGGCAGGCTGCGCAGCTCGCGGGCGCTCGCACCTCCCTCCCTGGGAGCAGGGCAGGGCAGCGTGGTCCAATCGTCCTGTGTCCACGGCCAGCTGTCTCCATGAGGACGGGAAAAGCCACACGGGAGGCACACGCTCATGTGGAGGACGTCACAGAGACGGTCCTGTGCCCCACGACGGCTCCCGGCGGGACACGGGGTGACCCATGTTGTCTCTTGGGCACCAGTGATAAGTCCCTCACGCAGACGCTGTGGGTGGGTCCAGGCGGGCGCGGCCCCTGCCAAGCTGGCAGTGGGCTCTCTGGGCAGGGCACGTGGCAGCCAGGCGACCGGAGCACGGCTTCTCACAGGGGCTCTCGGAGAGGCCGGGGACACAAGGTGGAGCCGGGAAAGGAACCCCGCCCCTGTCCCCTGGGGCCGCGTCCCAAGGCGGGCCTGGGACCTGCTGGCGGCTCGTTCGCTGAGGTCTGGGGACGGCGGGGAAAGGACAGGAGGAAGGTCCGTCTAGCATGCAGGTCCAGCTCTCTTGGGCAGCCCACCAGGAGACACGGCAAGACGAGGCTTCCAGTCAGTGCGGGCAGAGCTCCGCCGGGCTGGGGGACAGGCGCGACTCAGGGCCGGGCGGGGACTGGAGCCGGCCTCTCAGCCTGAGCCTCGCCCGTCGGTCCTTCTGTGGTCGCGTCGGCAGAGCCAAGCTCAGACGGAACGTCAGCTCTGGGGGACCCTCCGGGGAGCCTGCTGCCCCCACCCAGGGCACCTCCGTCTGCAGGGCACAGCTGAGGCCGGGTCCCCGGGTCCCCGATGGTGAGCGCCACACCTGCCCGGAGGGCACCTGCAGCGGGAGGCTGCCGGCACCGGGTGGGGGCTGCAGTGCGGCCGGGGCCCACCTGTCACTCCTGCTGCTCCTCGTTGCTGGCGCTGGGCGTGCGGCTGCGGACCTGGCTGCGCAGCTGCTCGATCAGCTCCGGGTTCTGCTGCTGCATCTGCTGCGCGAACTGCTGGCCCCTGTGGAGCGCTGCCGTCAGCCGCCCGGGCTGCCCTCCCTGACCCTCGGCCGGGCCAGCCGCTGCGCCATGCACCTCCCCTCCCGCCGGGCTGGGTGGCCGCACGGCTACTCACGCCTGGATGAGGCTGGCCAGGTCGTTCTGCGAAGGGCTGGTGCCGGGGGTGCCCAGGGGGTTGTGGCCGCCCGAGATCATCCCGGACATGCTGCAAGAGGGCTGGTGTGACGTGGGGGTGCTGGGGTGTGGGGCGGTGCACCCCAGCCCAGCCCCAGCAGAGGGCTCAAGACAGCACCTCTGCCTCCCCCTGGCACCCCCAGGCCGCAGCCCCGTCTCCGGCCCTCGGGACTGACAGCGGCTTTCTTGGGAACCCCCAGCCAGCCTGAAGACAGTGGCTCTGAGCCAGGGTAGCCGTGCCCCAGAGGGTCCTGGGCCATGCCTGGGGACCCCTGCTTGTGTCCCCGGTGTCGCGTCTCAGCAATGACCCTCACAGGCCCCACCACGAGATGGCCAGGCAGCCCTTGAAGAGCAGAGCTGGGCCTGAGTCTGCACTCCAGGTGCGGCAGACGCCCGGGGACAGCCGGCTCACCCCACGTCCCCACGCGACAGGCACAGGTGGAAACAGCAGTGTCCACTGACAGACAGACAGACGAACCCCACGGGCCATCCACACCAGGGAACGCGACTCCCTGGAGCAGGACGGGACCCCGACACGGGACACGGGATGGACACACCGTGCTCAGGGAAGGCGCCAGGCGCGGAGGCTCCCCAGGTAGGATGCCGCATGTGGGGCCCCCAGAAGGGGCAGGCCCGCAGGGGTGGAGGTGTGCCCATGGGGACGGGGTGCCACGGAGTAACGCACACACTCCTGGGCCAGACAGAGGGGACGGGCGCATAGCCCAGGGGCCTCGGCAGCAGGCGCTTCCCCACGGCTGGCACACACGCGTATCCACCAGCGGGCGGGG